AACTTTGGCATTGGCATCGAGCTCAACATTTTTCATGCTGTTTTCTTTTCCAATTTTCTATTCAAATTTATGTTTTTGTATATTAATATTTATATTTTGCTTGTTTTTTTTTTATATTTTTGGTCAGGCGCTTTGCACGCACTTGTCCCATTCCCATAGTTTTGGCTTTATTGTTTTTATGCTTTTTATTGTTGCTGTTTTTTGTTTGTTTGTTTTTGTTATTTTCGCCATTTTTATTAATTGTCTGCGGAAGTTGCTGTAAATGTCGACAAACATGAAAATATTTGCTATATGCTTTATTATTATTATGTATGCAGAGGAAGTGAGCAGTTTGCCAGGTGTGTGTGTGCTCTCTCTCCACCACTTCACTCATCCCCCCACCTCCCCCCGCCCCAGCCATGACGTCATTGGACTTTGGCTTTGGCACGCTAGTTTAGCTTAAGTGTTTGTTATTTTTATTAGTGTTTACTTAACGAGAAAAAGATAGAGCGTGAAAGAGTGTGTGTGTGTGAGAGAGAGAGAGAGAGTGAGAGCTTTTACTTAGTTTTAGTATGATTATTATTTTATATTCCGAGTAAAAGTAATTACAATTGCAAACGCAGCTTTCAATTAGCTAAATGTGAAACACCTGTCACTCAAATTAACTTAACTTGGCTCCATTCCTCCGCCCCTTTTGGCCCCCCTTCGTCCAGTCAATTTTTAAGGTCACTTGTTGGTCGCTTGGGGAGGGTTGCCCACTCAAACCATGACAAATGTGATGAACATAGAACATGCAACGTGCAACATGCTTGTCGAGGTCATGCTTAAAAGCTCTGTCATAAAACTAAACAAGAGGATAATGCTTCAGTCCCAGAGAGAGCTCTACAAGAAGATACCCTATTAAATACACAGAACACAGATATGAGAGATATAAATATATGTTGAGACAATAACTTGAGTGTTTCCTGTGCAGATATATTATGTGTCAATTGGTAAGCTGTACTTATATAAAATTACGACTTGGTTTTTGCTACCGGAAATCGGTTTGTATCGATATTCGCGTAATGAAGGCAATTATCGATAATGTGCAATAAACTTGATTTGATTGGTTGATACACATAGACAGACATACGGACAGACGGCTTGATCATTTCGTTTCTTCTTGCTGATCAAGAATTTATATTTATACTTCGCTGATGCTTTCTTCTGTCTGTTACATACTCATGCCTAACTGCATTATACCCTTTTTACGCACATTTGTAATGGGTTCAGGGTATAACAACTAAACTAAGCCCAAGCCAATCCCTAGTTATGCCAACTAATCCGGCTATTCCAGGAAATGGGTCACTTATGTCATGTTGTTAACCAAGGCATAAACTGAAAAGAATGCTTATACCTCATTTAATTTGCCTATTTTATTTGTTTGTACCTCAACAAACCTTAGGTCAAACATTCATTTATATTTACTTGCTTCACTAATCACAAATGAGTTCCTTGCCATTTAATTATAAGTTATATGTAAGTGAGTAATTTTCCACATTGTTGAAATTTCTACAGTCTTCAGAAAAGTTAAGAGAAATGCATACAAGTCTTATGCAAATTGTGCAACAAATCAACTTAAGATATAATAATATATGCTAAATGTGTTGAGTAACATTTTGTTTTCATCTAGTTTTGAATGTGAATTCATCTTATATTGCTGCAGTTAGTCTTAATGTTCAGATTTCATCTTCCTCGTATTCCTCATATTTTTGCTTCTCATCATTCATTCATCTTTGAGCCGAGCTATCCTTCTACATAAACGACCAAAAATTGCAAGATAAAACGTTAAAACATTTAATCTCGCATCTAATCTGTGTACATGGACCTCTCTCAAAATGTTTGGAATTGAGATTGGGAATAGGTTTGAAGATAATTTGTATCATATATACAATTCTCAACGTAGCTCATCACTTTGGGTTGATGGTTGATTAACCTCAATAGGATCATGATTAGTCCCCTTTCATTCCATATTCATTCAAAACGTAAGATATATTCGAATATATATATTCTTTGACAGCATCTGTAGCCAAGTCGATATGGCCATCTGTCCGTGAGTTCATCTGTTTCCTTGTAAACTAGTTCCTCGAATTGCTATTTATACAAACTCTTGAGTTATGCGTTCTTATTATGCTGCAAACATTTGGATAACACATTATCAACATCGGACTACTATATCATACAAGTTCCATAGAGTTTTTCAATCTATGGTAAACTTTTGCAAGAGCACCTTATCTGCGACATGTCCAAGTTAAACATTCTTTCTTGTTATGCAACACTGTGAAGTAGTGCAAAAGCATGAAGAAGCTTAAATCTCTAAATAGATAACGTAAGAGGGAGAAATAGAGTGCGGTCAGTCATTTAGTCATTTAGTCAGTCAGTCAGTCATTCAGTCATTTAGTCAGTGTCATGTGTTGGCAAGTGGCAATTACCGCTAACCCTCTAATAACTAACAAAAAAATCATTGTGATGACTCACTCAAGCATTAAAAAGCCGCCAAGTTGAAGTTGCAGTTGAAGCAGGCTATTAGCCGTCAGTTAGAGACACACACACACACACATACACATATATATATATATATATATGTAGCTCAAAATGAACACGTCAAGCGGTAAATCAGAAAACTACAAACGTTGGCTCTTTGCCCTTGTGTGTGTGTGTGTGTGGCTTAGTGTGCTTAAGTGTGCGCAAGCAGTTAACATCAAGCAGCAAGCAGTGCAAATGCCTTAGAATGGGGTGGCAGAAGAAGCACAACTACAGTGAGCAGAGCTGCTGCTGATGCTGCGGGACGAGACGAGTTCAAGGATGGTGTTTGTGTGTGTGAGTGTGTATGATTGCGTGTGTGTGTGTGTCTGTGGCTACTCCTTCTTTGGCACAGTCTGGCATCTGTTTTAAGTATACAGTATATACATTTATTTATTTATATTTCATTTAATTTATATTTATCTCGCCGTGATGGATTTTGCTAATTGGTATTTTCTTTCTTTTTGTTGTATAGTATATATTTGCCCGCATTCCACTTTACAGTTCATTCATCTTCATTCATCAACCTGTGATCAGATTGCGAGCTCTCCTCAAATGTGACTCACTCGCTGAGAGGAGGAGAACTCTGCTGAAATGTGCTTTAATGCTTTGCTCTTGGAATTTCTGAGATATTAAGTGTAACAACTGTATAAATATTATTACAATAGTGTTGTTGTTCTTCTTCTTCCTCAGCTGGAAAGTGTGAAGTCTCGACAAATCTGTGTGTGTGTTGTGTACTGTTGTGGATACCCTTGTTACACACTAGTTAGCTAATGGGTATTTCAGTTCTTTTTCCAAGTTTGCGACGCATTGAAGAATTCCGCTTTGGCCTCCAAAGTATTAAATATATATCTATTCTAACTTGGCAGTTGTCCAACTTTTTGTTGAAGGCAGAAAATAGATCGAAGATGAGCAAAAATTCAATTACGAATTTGCTTAAATTTGCTTAAGTTTATGGTTAATAATATTATACCATTTCAAGCTGCGAATTCAAATTTCGCAAAAAGGGTATCTAAACGTCGACGGGTCCAAGATGAAAATTCGTTTTTGCTTTTGTTTTGATTTGTGGCCTCCTTTTGCTCTTGCCAACTTCCTCTCTCTAGTTCTCTTGCCTGTCTCTCTCTCTCTCTCTTTCGCTGGTACTGTGGCCTGTTGCCAGAGTGTGTGTGTTGTACGTGACTTATTGCTTGGCAGCATTGCCAACTCTGACAACAACTGCTTTAAGACTTTAAGCGACAAACGTTGAGGCGATAAAAAGAGCTCAACCAACAATCAGCTGCAGCTGGAATAGTGCCAATCAACCAAAGAGATGGAGACGTATAGCGGACAAGGGGGGGTTTTGCTGCAGCGGCTTAAGCTTTGATTATTATTTTATGCCAGACCAGACGTATACACAGATATATATAGGTATATATAGATATTGATATATTGCTGGTTTCGTGTGCTGCTGCTGCTGCTCAAACGGAAATGTGTAACGTGTTTTTATTTATTGTTATTATTATTATTATTATTATTATTATTATTATTATTATTATTATTTGTTGTTGTTGTTGTGTAGCTCGAAGCTCGAGTTGATCAAATGCATCTGCTGCAATTGATTTAGCTGCGATCGAGACTTGAGCACGTACCAAAATATCGTACGCTGATTAGGTAGGTGGATTAAGGGCGGCATCGGGGTATGTGTGGAGAGAGATCTACATAAACAGATACAGAGAGAGAGAGAGAGAGAGAGAGAGAGAGAGAGAGAGTGAGAGTGAGAGTGCTTATTATGTATCACATATGGCATATCGCATATATATATATACCATATACCATATACCATATCTCATATGCCTGACAGATGCCAGTTGCCAGTCAGCGATCAACTTGCTTTTGTTCATTGCAAGCAACAATTATTCAATATACACACTCGATACTAATTATAACTCTCTATGTATCTGTAAGATATCAATGTATCTCCCTGGCAGTTTCTAGAAATTGTTCTCTTCACCCAGACAGGTGTATAATAAAGTTTAATTTATATATATAAATTCGATTAGCGCTATTAGCGATCAATTTTTGTACAGACTTATTTTCTCGCAATTCAAGTTTATTGACAGAAATATTATTGATCAATTGTAAAAACAACGCATTAAGATCTGATAACAAATACAGATTTTGTTCACTTGAAACGACGTAGGGTATCTCGTAGTCGAGTTCAACTTGGGAGTAGCAACTCCCAACTTGTTTTTGTGTATGAATTTTGATAATGTTGTCAAATCGATTACAGTTGCAAGTAGGCCGGCCTTATTATTGATTCATATTGTATCATATCTCGAACTCAAATCGTTTTCAAAACTCTTTCATAAATTCCAATTGAATTTGAACCACTTTTTGAAAATAAATCATCATATTCATAAATTGATTGCTGTTGCTAATCTGTTGTCAATCTGTCAATCTGTTTGTTGTCGCCCAATCAGATTAATCAGCCAGCCAGCCAGGAGGGGATCATCGTTGGCCTAGCTGCCGGCGAAGGATCGGTAGCAGTAGCAACTGTTGCCACTGGGAGTAGTCCGCAGCACAAATTGCTGGGCTTGGGTGAACATTTGAGCGGCGCTGGCGCCGTCAAATTGCGCAAGCACAGCGAACAACGGACAACGACGACGACGACGCCGGAAGTTGGAGCAACGCAACAGCAAAAGGCCTCGTATCGCATCTCGATGGCCAATCTGGAGGATACACAGGAGTCCGAGCTAGATCTGATTCTTGGCGAGCTGAGCTTGCTCGAGGCACAGATCTCCTATGGCGAGGCGAGCTTTCTTCCCGGCAATGCTGCTGCAGCAGCCAATGCAGCACCGCCGCCGCCGCCGCCAGCTGGTATTTTAGTTGGCGCATCATTGCCGCCGCTACCACCGCCGCCGCCACCGCCCGCCTTGGCCTCCATATCGGCGGCATCGTCACGGACACATTCACGCACAAATAGCAGCATATCGGGTGATGTAAGCACCTCGACCTCCTCATCGGGCATATCCGAGAATGGCAATGGGAATGGCAATGGCAATGGCAACGGTAACGGTAACGGTCTGATGCTGATGATGACCCCAACAAATGCGGCACTTGGCCCCGGCATGGTGCCACAAACGGTTGGTGGCGGCAACGCCACACTACTCCTGGGCATGGGCATGGGCATCACGCTGGGCGTGGTCACGCAACGCGAACCCCGCACCGAATCCCCCGACAATGATTCGGCATTCAGTGACACTGTCTCGCTGCTCTCCAGCGAATCCTCTGCCTCCTCAAACACTTCACTCCAGCAGCAGCAGCAACAACTGCAGCAACAACAACAGCAGCAGCAGCACCACCACCAGCACCAGCAGCTGCAACAACAAAAGTTGCAACAGCATCAGCAGCAACCAATGTTGGCCTCTTCGAAGGCAGCCAAGATTCAGCTGGCGCTGCATAAACTGGAATCGGCCTCGATCCGGCGACTCTTTGTCAAGGCCTTCACAGCGGATGGAGCATCCAAGTCGCTGCTGGTGGACGAGCGTATGGTCTGTGGCCATGTCACCCGACTGCTCGCCGACAAGAATCATGTCCAGATGCAGCCGACGTGGTCACTAATCGAGCATTTGGCCGATCTGCACATGGGTAAGTCTGGCCTTGTGAATTATCCAAATTTACTTATCTATATATCTATATACTCATATTGTGTGTGTGTATTTTTAGAGCGCCTGTTTGAGGATCACGAGCTGCTTGTGGATAATCTGATGACGTGGAACTCGGATGCCGGCAATCGTGTGCTCTTCCAGCAGCGCTCGGACAAGGTATCGCTATTCGCCCGACCCGAACACTATTTGCCGGGACCACAGATGGCGCCGGGCTGCCAGCATGACGAGCAGACGCGCCACATGCTGCTCGAGGAGTTCTTTGAGCTGCCGCACGCCCAGCTTCAGCTGCAGTTGGAGGGGCCGCTCTATGTGAAAACGGACCCGAAGAAGGCATGGAAGCGACACCATTTCGTGTTGCGCCCCTCCGGCCTCTACTACTTCCCCAAGGAGAAGACGAAGAACGCCAGAGACTTGGTCTGTCTGACTCTGTTCAGCGGCCACAATGTCTACACGGGCATTGGCTGGCGCAAAAAGTGCAAATCGCCAACGGATTATACATTTGGATTCAAGGCTGCCGGCGACTCGTCGCTGGGCAAATCGTGTCGCAGCCTGAAGATGCTCTGCGCCGAGGATGGGGCCAGCTTGGATCGTTGGCTGACTGCGATACGCATTTGTAAATACGGCAAACAGTTGTGGCACAATCACAAGCTACTCATCGAGGAGCTCTGCTCCACTGGCGGCAGCAATGGGACACCGGGTGGAGTCGGTGGCAACGGTAACGGTAACGGCAGTGGCATCGGCAGCGGCAGTGGCACCTTTGCCTCCTCGATGCGCAGCGAATCGATTAGCAGCATCTCGTCGGCGGTGCCATCGCAATGCGGCAGCGTCTCATCGGCCGTTAGCAGCATGTCCAATTCGAGCAGCGGCCGCATCTCGCGCGCCTCCAGCTCCAGTTCCAGTGGCTGCCTCTCCGATGAGAACAATGCCTTCGATTCGGAGTTCACCACCGGCACCATCAAACGCAAACCCTCCATGAAACCCAATCTGCCGCTGACGACAATGACGCGCCAACTGAAGGAGGTGGGTGAGATAACGACGGGTGCCGTTGGCACCACAATCTCGCCGCATACCGCAGCTGACTCGTCAGCAGCTGGCGCTGGTTCGCCGGAGCGCAGTGGCACGTTGACGCGTCGCCACAGTCGCCGCAAGTCGCAGGAGAGCAACGGCAGCAACGGTGGCACCCTCAAGCGTCGACCCCAAGTTGTGCCCGTCAAGCAGCGCGAGCTCGTTGTGGCCACAGATGCTGGCAATGGCAACGGTGGCAACTCATCATCGTCCAGCAATTCGACGCCAACGCCCACGCCGAGCATTATTTGTGCCAAGCCAGCAACAGCAGCAGGAGCAGCTGCAGCAGCAGCAGCAGCTCAAATCCAAATGGGTTGTCTGAGCGATGTGGAGCTGATGTGCTCGTCCACATTGTCGCTGGATTCGCTGCCACCGCCGCCGCCGCCGTTGCCGTTGGCCCTGCATGCGGATGAGCAGGATGTGTATGGATCGCAGTTGTCGCTGGCCTCGCTGCCGCCGCCGCCGCCACCCGAAGAGGTCTATGTGGAGGCAACCACGCCGCTGACGCCAACGCCCATGTCTATGGGCATGGCCATGGGAATGGGCCTGGGTGTGGGTTTGAGCATGCCCAATAGCAATGGCACACTGCCGCCCGCTGTGCCCGCCAAGCCCATAAAACCGGCCGTGAAGCAAACGTTGAAAGCAGCACCGCCCTATAAGGCGCCACCCGACTATGTGGGACCCCCTGCATCCATGGTGGGTGCTGGTGTCACCATTGCTTCGGCTGTTGGTGCTGCGCCGCCACCGGCGCCGGTGCAAAAGAAGGTCTCCTTTGCCGATTCACCTGCTGTTGCGTCGCAAAATGTGCTCGCCGGAGCCGCAGTTGCCGCAACGCTCGCCAAGCACAACGCTCAGCGGCGCCGTCGGCGTTGTCTATCACTCACAGGGACAACAGCCGATTTACTCGCCGGGGCCACTGTTGCCGCCACGCAGCGATTTGTCGCGTCTGTCGAATGGCAGCGATGTGAACATAGCCAACACGTCCCCGAAACGTCTGCAGGAGTCCGCATCGAATCCGCCACGCGACTTCCTCAAGGATCTGCAGCGGGTGATGCGCAAGAAGTGGCAAGTCGCCCAGAAGTGCAAACTGGAGCCGGCAACAACGCCGCACGAGGTGCTCGGCTTTCGTGACTTCAACAATGAGGATCTGCTCGCTGCCCACAATCTTAACTCGGGCGCCAACTCATCGCACTACTACCGGGAGACGGCCAATGTCAGTCACTGGGTGCAGGAGCACTACGAGTATGCCCACAACGAGTATGCCCTCTATGAGAATGTGCATGCCCAGAGCAATGGTGCCGCCAATGCAACTGTAACGGGAATGGGAATGGGAATGGCAATGGGAGCGGGAGCGGGAATAGCAACCGCAATTCCAACTGCAGCAACTGGAGCAACAGGCGGTTGCGATGATGGACGCAGTTGCTCCAGCTGTGCCGCCGCCCACATCTCTGGCGGATGCAACAGCGGCGCTGCGCAAAAAACGACCACCGCCGCCGCCGCCAAAACGCAGCGATTCCACACATCTAACGCATCGTGTCTAATCCCCTCCAGAGTCAGCGGCAGTGAGTAGAACCAAAGACTATCCAGCGATACACAGAGATAGTCTCTGGTAGCAATCAATGCATTTCATCTGCAACTGAATCTCAGCTCTAATTTCTCTCACTCTCTCTCTTTCTCTCCTGACCAGATGCTACGCTCTAACTATCTCTCTCTCGCATTCAACTGGATCTGTGGGATTCAGCAGCAACAAGCAACAAACAACAAGCAACAATTTTCAACATGTCTAAACTTAAGTGCAAGAAGCAAAAAAGCAAAAATAGAAAGAAAGAAATTCCTATCGAAGAGCAACAAAAATAGGGTAAAAAAAAAACTAAAGCCTCAAATTGTAGTGCATAAAAAGAAAGAAAGAAAAATATAAAACAGAAAACAGAAAACAGAAAGAAAACCAACGCCAACTTCTCAAGTATTATATTCAGTTCAAGTTTTGTTTTGCTACTTTTTTTTTTTGTTTAGGTGCGGCAAATGTGCATTGAATTAGTTCTTGCAACATGCTCACAATTTGTTGCTGCAAATATCATTTTAACTGGCTAAGAACATAAATTGATTGCTTCAATTTATTTATCGATATATATATATATATCTATATCATTATATTAAAAAACGTTGTTCAAAATAAACAAGTGTTTAATCAGATCACGATTAATGAATAGTGTCTGTTATATATATATATATATACAGCAGTGGCAAGTAAATTGTTCAAATGATATTTGTGGCAACAAATTGAGAGCAGATGATTGCAAGGAAAGAAAATAAAAGTGTAACTATTCAAATCAAATGTTTAGCTGTATCTATGCATATAGACATAGACATAGGCACACTGCATACTGTAGCATAGTGTAATCTGATCTGATCAGATCTCATCTGATCGTCTACTATATAATTAGTGAGCGATTTTCAAACAAAATATGATCTGCCAGCAAAATCAAAATGTTTTAAATTAACTATATATATATAAATGTGTGTGTATATTTTTGCTCATCTTATATTTGCTATTTTTAATTTAGTTCTAGTTCATTTTATACACACATTTCGAATAATTCGTCTGATTAATGATTAATGTTTAATGATAATTATTTGCCGCACACATTTCGAATAGTTTTAATAATTAAAATTAATTATGTGCAAAATCAAATTTGAAAAATTCAAAGCCTATGCATATAATATCTTAAGCTACTTGCTAGATTGTAAAAAAACGAGCCACAATTTTATGTTTATATCTATATAAATATATATACTTATATATACACATGTGTATATGTATATATATATATGTATTTATATATGCCTACTATATAAAATGCAATTTTTTTTATTAACTAGAATTTGTTTATACTTTGCAACGATTTGTTTATATAATTATACTTTTTTTTATTGTAGCTAACAATTTTTGAATTTTTTTTATGAATGCGGCGCATGAAATGCGCCAGGGAAAAAACAATGGAATATATAGAACAAGAACAAGAAGAAGACGAAGAAGAACTACGTTGCATGCAAGCCTTATACAATTATTAATCAATTAATGCATACATAATTATATATATAAATAAATATATATATATATATATAAATATATACGTATTATAAGTCTTATACAACTATACAAACTAAGTGCATATACATATACATATATAGATATATATACATATATATATTTATATATATATATGTATATATATACATATATATATATATATAAGTCGGTTATACTATATAGTTTATAGGGTATGTCATTTAAATTGCTTTCGCTTTCGAATAATATATATAAATATATATATATATATATAAATGCTGCCTTAATGCTTTGGAATTGTACTTACTGCAAATCTGGACAGAGGCAGCAGCCAATAAACTATATATATATGTATATATAAGTATCTATAACATACATATATATGTTAAACTAAAAATCCAAAATCGAAGACATTTACTAATTGCATTGCGCTCTCTGTGTATCGATAGCTTTGATATTTTTGTTATCGATCTCGATTTTGTATATCGCTTTGTATTGGCATATTTAGCAGGCGTTCCTAACGGTTCTTCATGTCCAGCAAAAATCACAATAGACAAACGGAAACAGAAACAGAAACAAAACCAATCGAAGTTTAACCGTAACTGTAACCGTAATTGTAACTCTAACGAGTCTAATTGTAACGAGTAGCTGTATCAAGTAACTATAATTTGTAACTCTCGTTTGCCATCGTTCTTTTTTTGCGTTTTGTTTTTTGTTTTTTTTTCTCTCACACACGCCATAGATCAAGCTGATTACACCTATATTAATACACAATATGTCAACAATATGTTTGTTAACATGTCAACTATGTTGTATATGTATGTCTTATATATATATATATCTATCTATCTATATTTTTTTGTATATCTCTGGTCATATGAAATTGAAGTTTTGAAATATTTGCATTTAACTTGAGTAATTGAAATGCGAACTTCAGCTACTCTTCCATATGACCACTCATATTAATATTTTATGGAATTTTGTTAGCCGTTTTTCAAATTTGTTTTAGAAAACAATACACTTGTATTCCGTTAATCCCAAGCCGAACCAGATCCCGAAACTTTTGCACAGTTATCTGTCGAATATTGAAATCGAAGAAACACTTTATTTGAATTGATATTTTTTGCTCTTTGATTGCAAATGGAATTTGAAAATGAACTAAAAGTTATTTATGCTATAAATATGCTATATATGCAATAGTATGTGTGTGTGTAGAGTTATTGTTTTTACTCCTACTAAATGTAACAGTGCATGTGTATATGTGTATGTGTATGTGTATGTGTATGTGTATGCATACACAAATTTAAACTAAAGGAAATGCCAATTTTTAATGCTTGCATAAAAAACAAATATTGAATTTATATAAAATACATGAAGCTATTTTTTAGATACTATTATTATATAGGAACTCGAAAAAATAAAACAACAACAAAATAAATTAACAAGTTACAATTTAAATGCTATGCTTGATAAGAAATGTGCCATAGGCGCTGGCGTGACAAAAATAAAATGAAAAAAAAAAACTAAAAAAAAAAATCAAACAAAAACAAAAAAACTTGCAAAATGCTAAATCAATGTACTAAATTTAATGAAATTAGCATAAGTTAAATAATTGAATCAAAACAACATTTATAGCATAATATTGAACAAAACAAAAGAAATGAACGAACGTACTAAACTAAATTTCGAAAATACTTTAAGTATGTGCTAACTAAGCGGATTTTTATGAGTCAAACAAAAACGAAAAGAAAAAACAAAACAGCAAAAAAAAAAGAAGAAAAAAATGAAGAGAAATCTTTTTATTTGGGATTTTTGAAACTTGTTTTACGCTTTGTTTTTTTTTTTTTTTTTGATATGTCTAAGCCTCGAGTAAATCAAACAATTGCAATAATCTAAGAAAACAACACACAAAATACTACAAAAATACTAAAATATTTCAAACAAGCAACCAGAACAGAAAAGCAATTGAAAAGCAGCCACAGACAACAAAGAAGAGACTTCAAGAAAACAAAAACAAAATTTCATTATGAATATATATATATATATATATATATATATATATCTAACTATGTAATATTAACAAAGCGAAAAGGAATAATAATAAATATATATGCATGACTACAAATTTACAAAAAATAAACAGAAATGATCAAGAAAAACCAACTACAACTACTACAACTAAATAAAATAAATAAACAACAGAAAAAAAAAACGAAAATAAATGTAAACAAATGAAAAATACATGAAATTTTTTGCAGGTCTATTATATAGTGAACAATGTTGCCATTTGATAAAATTTTTTTCCAAGACATTTAATATATATACATACATATATACCTTATATTCCGATTCAAATGGAATTTTTGTAATTTTGATAGAAACATTAAAAACATATAAAAATAAAAAAAAAAAAACAAACAAAAACAAAAAATACAAATTAAAGCAAAGCAAAATGAAACAAAACACAACAACACAAAACTAAAAGAAAAACTGCAAAGATGAACTGTTGCATGAAAAAAACAAACAAACAAAAAACAGACAAACAACAATGAGAAATAAATGCAACAAAATGCCTAAAAATCCATCAAAAAATAAAAAGCCAAATTGCATTTTATTTAAAAGTACTTTTTTGGTCTCCTTTTTATCAGCGCGCCATGCGACTCAAGTTTGAACAATTGTTTGGGATCTTCGATGTTATCATAGTCCTTGAATGCATGTCCTTCGAAGCTCTGTCAGGATCTGTCCAATTTAGAGCTGTTTTGTGAAAAGCACATGTCTTTTTTAGATATAACTCAGTCATTTCCTTAAGGATCGCAGTAAATACAGATATATATCGATTGGCATTCAAGTCTTTCCACAATTAGAGAACACGAATATTACGCGGCGTATCGATTTGATTAAAACCATAAAAATGACGAAAGTCCCTCAAACAGCCCAATTAAAAGGACTTTTTTAAGAACAGAAAATTGCACATAACGCAGCTATATAACCTATATCTGATTCTGACGAGTCCTGTGTCAAAAATGTTTGTGAGAAAACGAGGATGTTATGATTTCAACTAATTTTACTTCGACCTGAAAGTAAAATTTTACAAGTGCTGACAAGATGACCCCATCATTTTTGAATGCAGCTCGATAAAGTTCGTCATGGTGATGCTAACGCACCAGGTTATTCAAGGATCTGTAAGGATTTGGCCGAGATAGAGCCTGTTTGCTTGCCGCCCGCTCCTAAAAGTATGCCGCAATTTTTGTTGCCACCCCAACGAAGCCTGAAGGGAAATTAATTTCGACCGAGTAGAAAGAATAACTGTTTTTGTTACATAAAAGACTTATCTGTGCCGTTAGTATTACTCAACTGCTTCCTTGACCATTTACAGTTTAATATTTATTTAACTTTTATATCCTGTTTAGTTGTATGAATTTCATTGCTAACTTTCCGCTTTGCGTATATATTTTGTATACTTCAGTTGCA